ATGAGAGTTACAGGTCACATTTCCAAGATTGTCTACGTTCTTCAAATACTTCATTTAGGCTTTAAAAACTTGAAAACTTTTGCAGCTACAATATATGGTTTCAGTTGTCTTCTTATATCAGAATTTTCAGCAGCTTGGCTTTTCACAGAGGAAATTTTTTATCAAAAGTTACTGAGCAGGTGGCTCCTGCAAGTCTCATTGTTTAGTTTTACAGTGTATTACTGTGATCATTAGGGACATGCGCTTTAAACATTTTTTCAATGTGTAGAGAGACGTTCTGATGAGAAAACTCTGAAATAATTTTGATGTAAAATGGCCTCTCAAGTGTGGTATTTTTAGAAGTGAAATAATACAATTGTAATACAGAACACAAAGAGGATTTCTTTCTGTGGTGTCCATATCATTCAGGAGATTAACTTCTAGCTATTAGAAATTGAACCGCTTGCATTAAAGCAAAATGTCCGTGACTGAGCAAGCACAGTAATAATACATTCCACTGCTTTTGCAATATTATAGAAACCAGAACAGCTGTGTTTAAAGGAGTGTAAATAATTACTCTGTTTTCTTTCATATATTGAGGGGAGGGGAAACTGAACTCATGTTACATTTGGCTTTCTCAGCAGAGATGTTGGGGACGGTAAACTTTTGGCCTCTTGCTTATGAGTTCTTTGCTCCTGAGATTACCTGTCAGCATAAACACGGAGGACAGTTCTTTGACCATTTATTGCTACTTTAAAGTTTCACTCATGATATTAACACAGGAAAATCATGTTTCACTCACTGCTGCTGAAAATTCAATAATGAAAGTGAATTTGCCTGTTTGCTGCAAGTTAGGCAGGAAAAGGACATGATAAATATCCTTCACTAGATCAAAGCGTATCTTTCACTTACTGTCATGTATCCTGACCATAAGTAATATTTGTGTGATAAACTGCACACAAAAGTAAGAGGTATGTAGGAGACTTAATTGGCAACAGTAGTGGTATCAAAACCAACAGAAACCATCATAGTCTTACAGATAGCCTTCATGTAGAATACTTGGGACATTTCAAATTTAGAGCAGAGAAGGGTGACAAAAGATGCAGACATGGAAAACATTTTGGACATAAAATTCTTTGCCTTAGGAAGAAGATGTAATAATAATACACGAAAGTGCAAAGAGTAGAACTAGTAGGCACTTTTTCATGTTGTCTGTTATAATGCAAGGGATTACTTAGTGCTTTCAGATTCACTAACATATTGCTCTTCATAGAGATAATTTCAAAAGCAAAATTTCAAAACTTTAAAAGAATATTATTTTTATTTCAATGGTGTCTGTAGAGACAAATACCAAATTATTTCCTCTTCTTTCTGTTCTGTTTCTGTCAGAGAAATCCCTAGTTCTTTCAGTTTTTCAGCTGTTTCGCTTGCTGTCCGCTTGACGAGTTTCATGATTGTTGATAGAGGTTTTCAACCCCCAGGCCCCACTTTTGACTAGAGCAGCTCTGAGTAAGACAGTAAGTGTGCCTAAACATCCTCAACAACATTTTGTTTGCACTGGTGAGTTTCAAACTGAAGAGAGTATATCTTCCTTCTGTATCTTCAATTGAAACTGATGTTCCAGGAGGTTTTGACTGGTAGGGTGTGGTTTGTGTTTTCTGACCTGCAGCGTACCTTGTACCTCATTACAATCAGGTGGTTTTGTCAACGGTATTTGAGTGAAGACTCCCTTTCAGTGCCGAATGCTATGATGTAGTTTTCAGAAATATCGTACTCTTTCTTGATTTCCTCTTATTTGAGAAAGAAGGAATAGCTTTTGCCCTCACCTCAATGATGGCCTCATCAGAGGCCTGTCTCTGGGCAGGTTTTGTTATGCAGTACTCCATTTGAACATACTGCTGTATGTGAAGAAGTGAGTATGCAAGAATTCTGAATTTTGAAGGTTCTGAAAGATTGCAGTAGACTCTCTTGTTAAGGTAGCTTAAGTGTGCTTTGACCTTTTACTAGTTAATAAGATCTTGAAGGACATCTTTCCAATTTATATAGATGTTGATACAAATTGGGGTTTGATGGATAGATGTGGTAACTGTCTATTATAGTCAATTGTGTGGTACAAAGATGTAATTGCTGTGACAGGTGGAATACATTTGATCTTAGCTCTGGTGACATTAATAGTCTGTATGTAGAATGTTCTTAATATCTGTAGATCTGCTCTGCTAGAGCACCTTGATGTTTTCTTGACAATCTATGTACGCTTTGGACAATAGTCCTTCGATCTTGAATGACCTGAGGACTCTCAGGCACCTTGATCCCAGAGTCTTTTCTTAGCAGGAAAGTGGTGTTGGTATGGAACATTGCTCGATGTCACCCACAGTGTACATTTATATATAGACAAGAAAAACGTGTTTCTTATCTGTAACTCTTGTTCTTTGACCTGTGTTTGCTGTGTGTTCACGACTCACTCTTCTGCATTTGTTCATGGGAGTGCCTGAAGGAGTCTTGGAGTTTTTCTCAGTCTTCAAAATCCTAAGAGGGGAAAGGGCTGGCTTTTTAGGGCTGCCTGCAAAGCATATAGATGTCACAGTCCTGTAAATACACCCCTTTGGATATTATTAAGGAAAAAAATTATCTTGCTTTCACTATTTAAATGGATGTATTTGCAATGAATGTGAAAAAAACCCACATACAGGTAACAGAATAGTAACAGTTACAAATAAGCAGATCTTTCAATGATTAAACTGATCTTCAAGACTGAAGACATTTGCAAGATTTCCATTTATATGGAAATAGAGTTCTTTTTATATAAATGAATTATGGAAGAGATTCAAAGATGCATACTTCAGCAAGTAACATAGATCTATATCCAGTAATGACCAAGCGTATTCTGAATTTGTCACCCTAACTCATATCAGTCTAAAACTAATTTACTTTCCTCTGGAAATAAATGATATTTGCATCTGTCAAAGAGAAATAACTGATCTAGATGGCCTGTAGGTCTAGCATCCATTATGTAAATTCCTAAGTTTTACATTATTAAATCATACCATGAAATGTGTTCAGGGAAGTTTACAATCAAGTATATACGTAAAAATCAGTTTAACTGAAGACTGTAATCATTAATGCCTCATCATGTGATTATGGTATTTTAATTGGCAGTAGACAAATTAATTTGAGTGCCTTCAATACAAATCTCTATCTTTCTGTGTGTGGATTTCTTTGAAATGTAATTTGAACTTTACATGTGCTGGTTTCATAATTTGTGATACTAACAAGTTAGCATCCTGGAGATAAGTAAGGTGGGCTTAAGAGTACATATCAGTAACTAGCTTAATATTAGTGTAGTCACTTGGTGAAACCTACATAGCATAGAACCTACGTAGCAATTCTTGTTAAAATTGCTGTCTTTTATTTGTCATGGTCAGTTGTTGTAATTGTTCGTAGCGTTTATTCACTCCTGAAGTTTTGCTCAGAGTAAACTTTTACTTGGTGGATATTTACCGAAAACTTGAATGCAAAGCTGCTAAGTTGTTTTATAAATTGTAAGTGTAGAAGTAGAGAAGCATTGGAGGGCACAAGCACTTTATTGATTATTTTTTGGGGTCTCAGAATGACTGGACAGCCCAACAGCTTTAACATTCAAAAATTCATCAGCTTTGCCATCCCAGATGAGGAATATACACTTTGTCTGGTTTGAATAATCAATTGTATATGAAACATGAAATACTACTTTTAAAATCCAGAAAAATGAGTTAAATTATGCTGCTTAACAGAAGAACCTAGGTAAGTTTTGTAGAGAGAGATCTAGTTTTATTAGACAAACTGGTTATAGATAGAAAAGGCAGATAAACTTCTGAGCATATAATGCTTTCTTCTACAGCAAACATCAGGATAAGTACAGTTTGAAAACAACTGTGTTATATTTGTGTTTGCTGAGATAATTTGAAGGAAACAGGCTATCTCTAGTATATGAAGAGATGCTTGGGAGGAGAGAGATGGTAAAGCTGTGAAGCAAGTAAGGATTACTTTCAGACCTCTGTCCTGTATGAAGGAGGACATTGGGGTATGCCGTAATAACTAACTCGTGATAAAATTTGGTAGAGTTGCATCTTTCCATTCTTAAGCCCTGCATTTGAAAGTGTTTTGTAGGACTCCCTTGAGAGTCAGGAGTGAGAGTTGATGGAATGGCTTTTTTGTGAAAAATGTTCTGCATTTGGTTCCTGGATGTTTCTATGCATTTTTCCTTCTCTCTGTGTATGTGTTAATCCTAGTAAATAATAGTTGTTTGATTTTACCCACAGTTTCCTGAAGCATATAAAGTTCTGCCATGTGCATATCTAAAATTCATAGAGTTTTGGTAGTAAAAAGTTTTTAATCAGAAGATGTTAATCATTCATTTTCAAGATCATATGAAAAACTGGTAATTTTACTTGCAGGGAACATTTAATAAAGTCTGTCTTGTCTGATCTAAAGATCAGGTTTGTGTCTTGTGTCTTTTGATGCTATGTGTGCATATACATGGAGATAATAGATGTTTGATTCCGTTTGTTAAAGTGGAGTTTTAAAGCTAAGTGGTTCCTGCTACATGAAGTGCCATTTTTGAGACAGATACATATACACTCTATATGTATAAGTCATATGAAAATGATTGATGTATAATTAGAGATAAAAATTGACTTGAAGTTCCTATTTGAGAGAGTTAGAAACAAGGCTAGTGATTTTGTAAATAAAAGCACTTAATATTGCATAATAGTGATACAAGCATCGATCTGAAATCAGCAGCAATACTAACTGAGAAAAATAAAGCATAAATCTTAGAAAGATATCTCCTAGTATTTTTGTAGGACTGAACATATCTAGATTTCACTGTCATTGCTCACTAGTACTGCAGTAGAACATTGTTAAAGCACAAGATGAGTTTGTCTTTCAGGTGGTGGGAGGAGACATTGCTTTGTTTGCTTATGGGTTTTGCTTTAGATAATCACTTCTGTGGTTTTGTTGTGTTTTGTGTTCTTTAAAGGTCGTTTGTATGCGATGCAAACAGGGATGAAGATTGATAGTAAAAGCCCAGAATGCCGTAAATTTTTGTCCAAACTTATGGATCAGTTGGAAGCTGTAAGTAGAATTTATTGCTCTCCTCTAAAATGATTCATGGTGCTACTTTAAATTTTACTTAAGCTTCTGCGAATACTATCTTTTCTCTGTCATCAGTCATTGATGCAACTGTTCTGTATGTAGACATACTGTAGGAATTTGAGTTCTATGTAATAAATTGGCAGAAGGATTGAATGGAGGTAAAGCTATATGTGTGTATGTATTTTTATGTGTGTGTATACATGCACAAACATAACTGAAATTTTATACAGCAGATATTTGCCATAAGATTTTGTTTAGACAACATAAATTACGATACATATTCTCATGAGAAGTCATAATTCATTACAAAATAAATTCAGGAGTTCTAAAAGACTTATAAAATTGATTTGTCTTTGATTCCGTGAAGTCTGTGAGGGTTATTTTCACTGTTGCAGGACTCGCTAGCCTTATCCTTGGGTGCTTTTGAATTTTCTGCCCTAAACTGTTGTACCCAGGGAGTTTTTTAAAACATTCTCTACAAGAGAAAGATACTATTGATTGTACCCTCTGTTAGAGATTGAGGATCTTACAGTATGAATTTTTGTAAGCAGTCTTATCTGTGTGGGTATGAGATAGCTATGCCACACTCTTTTGAGTGGACCTGATAGTATTAAAAAGCAAAGAACTTGAAATAGACCAGAATTAAACAAAGAAAGGTAAAGTCATTGTACAGATGGTCAGATTAAGTTCCAAGGGCTGTTTATGTTCATATGCTGTAATTTTCAATAGCCTCAATGGAAGTAGTGTGTGGATTTTAAGGTTTAAGTGCTCATTTGGAAGCAGAAAGTAGTACTGAAAAATGAAGCAGCAGTTGTCCTTGTGTTCGGTATTGATTCCATCCAAAATCTAGCCATAGCGATGCCTTAAGAGTTTGTGTGAAACTGGTGCAGTAGCCTTCAGGAAAAAAATGAAACGTGAACCATTTTTCTCTTTTTCATACCTTGTTCTTCTGTCTGTGTTTTATCTCTAATTTTTAGCAACGGCAAATCCAGTGTACAGAGACTTCTTGGTGTGTTTTTTCCTCAAATTTTGACATCTTTAATGAGTCCGTGTTCAAAAGAGAAGAGAGGTGGCAGGAGAGATGAGATTAAAACTCCAAAAGATTTTGCTCTTCATTTCCCAAGGATTGTTAAAATTTGTTGTATCCCTTGTGGTACTGCAGCAACTAATCTGTCTGCAGTGTTCAGTTACTCCTTTTGTTTCAAATTTGGAAAGATGGAGCAAAACCCCATGGTTTCATCTTTCGGTTGCTGGTAAGATTGTCTAAGTGACAAATGATGCTCAGGTATTGAAGTTCCTTCTACGTAGCCAAGTGGTGGAAGGATGGAGAGAGCACTTCTAAGCAGATCTAATACAGAATTTTTGGGGCTAGCAAGTATGGGTGTATTGGGAAATTGGACCTCTGCAGTAATTCAGTAGCAGCCCTTTTCAGTCTGCCCTTAACCAGTGGAGGGCACAAAGGGGTACTGCAGCTGTGTGCTAAATGTTTCTCACAGCTTTCTGTGTGTTGACACAATTGATTATTTTAGAGGTTAAGACAGAAGCTTACAAACAATCCTGAACTTTGTAGTAGCAAAGAACAAAACATTGTAGATATATCTGGAAATTACCAGATATGTTCTTTGTGAGAAACTTCATAATACTCCAAATATATGAATTAATTAAATACAGTGATTTTGGATTCAAAACAAGTATTTCTGTCAGAAACACTTTTACATAAGATTGTGTTGTTTTGCTTTTCCAGTAGGTAACTGTTTCATTTAAATGTTTTTAGTGAAATTAAACCAAATTTGCTTAAATTTAGGTTCAAATTATGAGTCATCATTTAAAACATCAGTACTGCTGTGCTGAATCACAGTTTGTGTGAACGGTAATTTCGAAAGTAAACAAGTTGGCTAACCTCAGTATTTTCGGAAGTGTATCTAACTTAGTGTCATTTGTGCGTTTGAAATCCTCTCCATTGAACATCAGATCAATTAGAATGATAAGTTACTTTCTGAGTGTAAGACGTATATATATAGACTGGTTAAATATATATATAAAGAATAATTTTCTTCCTCAATTAACTTCAGTGTTTTATCTCAGTTAACGTATCTTGCAACTTACAAATTGTGGTATACTCACAAGAAAAACATTTACACTTTGTAAAACAAATACTTTTTGAAAACTATGTAGAGTATGTGTTTGACGAAAGTCTTCGAATTTGAAGTTCTGTTTGGAAAGTTCATATTTCACTACTTAAATCAAGGAACTTTTCTGGCAACACTCTATGTAGTAGAAGGTTGGCAGCAAGCTAAAAAATATGGAAATGCAGTCTGCATGATTAAGTTTTCTTCACACGCACAGTGAAAAATAACTGCCATTCAGAGATTGTTTTTAAATCTTTTGGCAAAATAAGGGCTGCAGGTTAGTATCGTGCAGTGTTTCTGTTTTTGTTCTCTAAGGATAACCTGAGATTTCCTTATGTGAAAACAGTAAGCCTATTCAGAAGTTGTAAATCCACCTGTTGTAACTGTTAGAGGGTTATTTGCTTTACTGATTTTTATTAGGAAACCTGAGGATTCTTGTACTCTAGCGTCTTCGAAAAGAGGTCTTTGAATAGCAGTACACTGCTTACACTGAAAATTCCAGTAAATCCATAGATCACTAGACCAAAGTAGGGCACAGAGGCTTTGAAAGATGTAATGAACTGCAGTGAAATAGCCTTACGAGAGAGAAGATATGCGATCACTCTGACCTATAGTACCTTTATAAAGCGTGCATTACTTTATCAGTTCAGCTGTGATGAATCCTGACACAGGCTTCAGAGTGCTTGGTTTTCCGGATACTAAGATGAAAAATATCTGTAGCTATTCCTTCACAATACTGTAGTTGTGTTTATTTTTAACGTGGTTTTTTTTTTGTTTGGTTTGGGCTTTTTAAAGTATTTTGTGATTGAAGATGGTATTCAGAACTACTTATTCATATTATTTGTCCCTCCAAAAGAACGTGCTTTCTCTTCAGCGTGCTACTTTTAGCGTTTGTTATGTTAGAATCTGGAAATTTGTAAAATAATTAAAGTGCATGTTTGGTGTGTTTTGCTTTTTTCTTTTAAATTGTACTTGGCTTTGTCTATATCAGCAGCTTCTTGTGTTTGAATTAGATTGCAGAATTGCTAGGGTCTAATAAGGTAATGGATGTGTTTTTTTCAACTTTTTTCAGATGAAAAAGCAATTTGGTGAAAATGAAGCAATTACTCAGGAAATTGTTGGTTCTGCTCATGTGGAGAATTATGCCTTGAAAATGTTTTTGTATGCAGACAATGAAGACAGAGCTGGGCAGTTTCATAAGTAGGTGAAAGTCTTTGGGTTTGTTACCTGAATTATGATATTGGTCAAAATAGTTGAATATCTAAACTCTTTAATTTGACTGGAAGAAAGAATTATGCTTTAACGCATTCATTTCTTTTTCAGAAAAAGTGATTTGTTACTACTTCTAAGTCTCTTAACTTCACACATTAACTGGTATGCTGCTTCTGTTCTTTAGGAGGTTACTCACCTACTGGCAAGCCTTATAAAACCCCAGGCTAATATTGAGCTTGGCATCAAGCTTGTTATAGTTTTTACTGTCCAATAACATTAAAATAGTTTTGATTACACATTATGTGGTTTGATTTACAGCAATTACTACAGCGTGTTAATGACTTTGCTGGGCTTTTTCTAAGATAATATAGCATGTCCTATGTCCATCTTGAACATTCCAAACTAGAAACTAAGTGCAGAACAGATGACCAGCTTTAAAAAAATACTCAAAACTTTCTGCATAGTAGTCAGGAGACTAGCTAATTTGTTGCTAAATTTAATCATTGTGAAGTAAGTTCTGTAATAACAGATGAAAAGGAAAAAAGTGAGTGAGTTCTGATTAGCTGGAAATAAGTCAGCATCATCAAAAATGCCAACTTCAAAAATGTGATCCTGAGAGACTAACATTACCGAGTTAGTAAAATGTTTTATTTTTTACAGAAACATGATAAAGTCCTTTTATACTGCAAGTCTCCTGATAGACGTTCTAACAGTGTTTGGGGAGCTCTCTGAAGAGGTAAGTGTTAGGGATATCAGTCTATTATCTGATTGCTATTCCTAGCACAGGTGCAAATTACTGTTTTAGTTGTGTAAAGTTGTTTTTATAAATTGCGAATATGAACTTCAAAGAACATAGGTTCTAATTGTGTAGTCAAATACATGTTAGTAAATCATAAGTAAGTCATAAGTAATTGTGGTAAAATTTCAAATAGATTGTATATGAAATACTAGATAACTGTAGCCTCTTAGAAGATGCTTCATGACTTGAGTATCAGTTAGAAATGCAAACTCTGATTGTTACTGTGAGACACATAGCATTACATTGAGCAAGCAGGAAT